CACATATATATACACACACATTACACACATATATATATCTATCATCATCATCAACATCAACTTAAAAAAAAAATTAAATTGTTCATTGCACACACAGATATATCATCAACAACTTAAAAAAATAAAAAAATCTTAACTTTGTTCGTTACAAACACGCACATACATATATATATATATATATGAATCTATCATCATCATCAACAGCAACTTAAAAAAAAAAAAATCTGAAATGGCGACGGAGGCAGTGGTGGTGGAGGATCTATCATCATCATCCACATCATCATCAACAGCAACTTAAAAAATAAAAAAAAATAAAAAAATCTGAAATGGGGACGGAGGCAGTGGTGGTGGAGGATCTATCATCATCTATCATCATCATCTATCATCATCCACTTAAAAAAATAAAAAATCTGCAGATCTGTTCGTCAAGCTGCAGCGGATGATCGGCGGTGTTGCGAAGAGGAAGCGAAGAGGCGGTGTTGCCATGGCGACAGAGGCGGTAGTGGTGGAGGATCGGCGACGGATCTGTTCAGATCTGTTTCGATCTAATCTAGATGATAAGGAGAGAGAGAGAGGGAGAGGAAAGGGAGGGAGAGAGATGAGACTGAGATGAGATTTGAGTCATTGAGAGTGAGGGAGAGAGAGATGAAAGCCACGGTGAGAGTGAGAGAGACACACAGGAAGTGAAATAAAAAAATAGGTTTGGTTTATATATATATAGGAGGGGTAAAAGGGTATTTTCACTTCGGGGATAATTCGGGGCCGGGGACGGGGCCGGGGACGGGGCTTGAACACTGATCACCGTCCCCGGCCCAAAACAGATCGGGGATTGATTTTCAAATACCGTCCCCTCCCCGTCGGGGATATTTTTCGGGGAAAAACCGCTTAAATCGGGGTCGGGATCGGGGATCCCCGTCGGGCCGGTTTCAAATTGCCATCCCTAGCCATAAGCAAGGCCACCAGAAATGACTCGGATTTCACTAACTGGCGGAGGGGGATTACTTGGGGACTGGGGTTGTTGTGGGAGGCGGTCATGGCCTTGGTCAGGTTGGGCTGGCTGCCGAGGTGGGGTACGTCGGCGGTTGTTTCTAAGGGGCTCGGTTCTTTGCCTCTGTTGTGGGCGGGTGTCCATGAACCAGCTGAGACGCCCTTGACGAATGAGGGTCTCGACCTGATCCTTGAGGTTGATGCAGTCATTAGTGTTGTGGCCGTGGTCCTAGTGGAAGCGACAATATTTGGACTGGTCTTTCCGGTTGGAAGGGGTCCATGAAGGCAGGGGCCATTTGAGGGGGTAATCCCGTTGGATTTGGTGGAGGACTTATTCCATGGGAGAATTGAGGGGCGTGTATCGCTCGAACCAACCGAGCGGTCGGGCCGGTGCCGACCAGTCAGTGCGAGGAGGTCGGTCGGGGTATTGGGGCGTTTGGCTATTATACTGGGTGTTTCTGGGTTCCGAGTCTTTTCTTTTTTCTCTGGGGGGTGGGTTTTTGGATATTGGATCTTGGCGAGCGGCTAGTGAATCTTCGGCATTCATATATTTCTGGGCTTTGGATAATAGGGCTGCCATGGAGGTCGGGGGGTTTTTGGAGAGGGAGAAGAGGAAATCGGACGATCGCAGCCCGGCCATGAAAGCCGTAAGGATGACCTTATCGTCATTCTCCGCTACTTGTAGGGCTTCGGTGTTGAAGCGGGTAACGAAGCTACGTAGCGACTCCCCCTCGGTCTGACGAATATTGAGGAGTTGGGTTGCAGGGCGACGTTGGCGCTAGGCTCCAATGAAATGGCTGAAGAAGAAGTTGCTGAGATGCTGGAAAGTGGAGACAGAGTCCGCTGGTAACTGACTGAACCACAGTCGGGCTGACCCCTTCAGTGTCACGGGGAAAGCCCGACACATGATCTCGTCAGGGAAGGCATGGAGGATCATGAGGGTACGGTAGGTCTCCAGATGGTCGACAGGGTCTGTCGTACCGTCAAAGGAGTCTATGGTGGGCATCTTGAACTTGGCGGGCAAAGGTTTGTCCCGGATGGAGGCAATAAATGGTGAATTTGCCGTGGTAGAGGGTTTATGCTCAATGTTCTGCATGACCCCTTGGAGTTGGAGCTTCATTGCTCGGAGCTCAGCATCCCATAGTGGAACGTGGTCCCCATGGTCAGTCAATAGAGGTTGGACGCTGCTAGCCCCCCCTTCAGGGGCTGGTGCTACGACCGACGGGTGTGGGGGTGGTGGTGGTGGATTTATGTGCGGGTGGGGAGGTTGCAAACCTTCCAGGTTGGGTGGATGGAGTTGTGGAGCAGTATGGCTCGGGGTTCTTTCTTGGTTGGGGGGAATATCTGGAGGTGGTGGAGGAGGAATCAGAAGGTTCCTTTGGAGTAAAGCATTTATCAAGGCCTGGTTTTGCTCGGCCATGCGATTGATGCTGTTGGTAAGCTCGATAAAGTACTGTGGTAGGTTGTTTGGATTGGGGGGGTCGACTTGATGGTTGGCAGCATTATTGTGAGAAACCATGGATCTAGTCACGACCATGCACTTTGACGGGTAGGAGAGAAAGGTTGTTGGAACGGGGCCTCCGGCGACAGTGAACACAACTGGCACGAGGAGCAAAGCGTTCCCACAGACGGCGCCAACTGTTAATGCTGTTCGTCCCAGTAAATGGATCGGGCAGGTCCAAGCTCCTCAAGCCTGTGTCCAAATGATCAAGCCCACCGAATAACCTGCAGGCAAGTTCAACGGGGAACGGGTAGTACCCCAGTGAACTCTCCGACGAGCAAGTTAGGAAGAGAAGTAATGTGTAGAGGGAGAGGTTAGGGATAGAAAAGCTTAACATTTTTCTTGTCTACAACGTTCGCTTGTATCCTTTGGTAATCATTTCGCTGTCCCTTCCGACCTGCTCTCCTTGCCGAAAGCCTATGCTGTAGCTTACCTTGCTCAGGGTAAGGGGGTCCTGTTCCGGCGGAGAGGTGTTGTCGTAATAAATGCTGTGATGGGCTGCATTAATGGTGATGTGCAGTGTCAATAACTTTACAGATCTTTGTCTGCTGATGTGGTTCGTCCTTCTCTTGCCGTGTGTCTGAATGTCATTGGCTCTTTATGCCATGTTGGACTCCGGCTGTCCTGGACCTCGTCAGCTGGGTTATGCACTGGGCTTCAAGTGAAAGGCCATAGGTGATTCAGGGCCTTTATGGGCTTATACATGTCACAATCCATTAGTTCAAAAATAATGATATATGCACTAATTGGTGTACTAATTGGTGTACTAACTAGTGTACCAATTAATGATGTGGCATAATTTAAGAAATTTTAGATATTTGTAATTTGTATAAAGAGTAGAGTTGTCATAACTAGTGCTGGTATACTAGTAAATACACTAATTGGTGCATGTAATACCACCGTTAGTTCAAAATGTAAGATTAATTCGACATGCTTATTTTTTGCCTTCTTTTTTTTTTTTTAGACACACAAATTGAAATGCAGGTGTTTTGGGAAGCACCTAAAATAGTTAAAAAGTCAAAAAATTACTACCAAAAAATAAACTATTTTCTCCACCTTTTTATACATCTTTTTGTAAAACCCATCTTTTCGTAAAACCCAACTAAATTAACCACTTCTCAAAACAAACCCATAATGTGAGTGTTTGGAAAGTGGCTATTTTAGGAACTTTTTGATTTTTTGACTATTTTAATTTTTGTATTTGGGAAGATAGAATGTATTTTTATTTAAATTATTATATTGAAAAATGTGTTTGAATGATATTTGAGGTTGAAATGACAAATTTGTCCCTAACTACATTTTTTTCCAAAATTGGTCTAGAGGCAAAAGTGTCATTTCAGCCTGTGGGACTAGGCTGGCCTTACCTTGTGCCTAACCTCTGCCCACTGCCGGCTGCTTTGGTTTTTGTTTTTGTTTTTGTTTTTTTTTTTTAATAAATATAAATTATTAGTTTAAGGTACTATTTGAGCCTATTTGGCTTCTTCTTTTTTTTTTTTTTTTCTTGTTTTTTGGTATTTGAGACTATTTTAGCCTCAACTTTGAGTTCCCAAACACCCCAATATAAGGGAAAGCTTTTTGACTTAGTCCCTCACTTTTATTTTTGATTTTTTATGCTTTATTTTTGATTTTTGAGAATCTAGATGAGTTAAAACTACCAACCACATTTTTGTTTTATTTTTCCTTTCCTTAATAACACAAAACTAATAATACAAGCAGAAATGATATGAAACGAATCTAATGAAAGATTGATGTTTCATGATAGTAGAATATGGAGGGTTTGACTTTTGAACCCCTAGCTATTCAATATTGATGAAAAGTAATGAGGAAGTCGTCATGTTGAGTGCGCGTTATATTAGCATCCAAACCTTGTGATGCTCACAATGAAGGTTAAATTCACATGGAAATTTTCAAAAGTTTGATCCTCTAACTAGCTAAAGCTCACCATCATGTTTTTGTTCCCGGGAAAAAATAAAAAATAAAAAATAAAAAAAATAAAAAAAAATAAAACAAAAAGAAAGAAATAAATAAAAAGCTCATCATGTGAACAACCTTATTACAACCATTGATCATGGACAGATCACACACCACTAACAATCATGCAAGATTTTGAGCTTAGAAGTCAATTGAAATAACTTGAGAGATTGAGAAGATTGTGTCAAACTTTCATTAAAAGTTTGGACACACAGAATGACGAAATGTCAACTGCAAATTTGTAGGCAAAGGTTGCTGACTTTAGGGTAATAGTCTCCACCATGTTTCTTTGGAATCTTTGAAGCCCTACTTCATGATTTTGAAATTTTCTTCTCTTTGAGCACTTATTTTACTCCTAATTCTATTCTTATTCCTAACATGTTTGCGCGATGGCCTCTACCACTGCCACTGTCACGCCCCAAGTTTCATGACAACGCCGCACACTCATTTAAGTGAGTATGCAAGGTTATGAGTCCAACACATAACCAATAATGTAAAATACTCAAATTAAATCCTTAATTATCATAATGCTAAAATCTATAAAAAAATTGATAATTCTTATCATATGAAATTGTCCACCAAGTCCACTAATAAAATCCACTAACAAAACAATAATCCAAGTACTTAAATCATAGTCCTACTCTCGGCACTCCCACAAGTAAAAATCCCACGCAGCTCTACTTCTCAGAATCTGGAAAAAAAAAAAAATAAGGGTAAGCTAGACAACCCAATAAATAACCAACCATCACTGTTAGCTGGATCAAGTATACAAAAAATAAATAAATAAATAGTCGATAACCAATAAATATAATTTTTTCTACAATTCAATAAATGAACAATTATTTGTAAGATGGTTTCATACCTAAAAATAAACAATGTACCATACATTTTAATTGAAAAGCCAACAAGATAATTGAAAGTAAATTCGTTGTTCAAATCGACGATTCAATATTCAGATGGTTCAATGATTTGATTCACAAAACCCAAGTCTTGGTGACTACGGTAACTTAGCCCATGACAAGGCCCAAAACCACACATAGGCCGGTGGTAAAACCCCAAAAGATACTAATTTCTTACCAATAAATAACCCCTATTGGCTAGGGTCCAAATCATAATCAGACTAGAGTGATGTTCAAAATTCAAACAATACACAACTTTTAAATAAAATATTCGATATTTTCAGAATAAACATTTAGTACAATTTTCATAATAGTTCCATAAAATATTCAAATAATTTTCATAACAATATTCGATGTTGTTTATGCTTGACCAATATTTTATTTTCAGAGAACATGAAGGTTATGAATAAATACTTATAATTTTTAAACGATTCAATAGGAATAAAAAATGTATCAACAGTGATAGAGGGTTGCTTACCTCAAACGCTTAGTATAATATTCCACCACACTACCTCCAGACACCCAGCTCCACTAATTCAATCACACAAACCTAATAAATAGAACCTCAAATAAATATATTTTGATGTCTTTCACACATCAACAAGAACCCATTATATATATATATATATATTCTTAAATCCAAGAGACACCAAATCTATCCACCCAATTCAATAGCCAAACATACCTTATCCAATGTACAAAACCCAAAAGTCAAAACACACCCACCCAAATTGCTCTACTCTTACATGTTGCACCCAACATCCAATTCTCAAAATAAAACTAATAATCAGTAATATAGGAGAACTTTTACCTCCACCAATGGGTGTCCAAATATCACCAATTTTGAGCCTTCAATCTCTATGGTAGTCTCTCTTCTGAAAGCTCTGTAATATTGTGATACCACAACGTGAAAACCCTTTTTTTTTTTCTTTTTAAAAGGGTTAAAAAACCTAATTCTTAAGATTACTAAATTACCCACACAATTTATTTTAATTATTAATCTATCCAAAAATAATTCTATAAATAACTTGGGTTTTGCAGCCACCACTTCTGGCAGCCCATCCCTAACACCCCACCACCCCTCGGCCCATCATCCCCACACCAACTGCACCACCCCTCAGCCTCATTCCTATCCTCTCCGCTCCTCTATAGCCCTTCCCCGGCCATCAGCCCCTCATCCTTACTTCATCATATGTCCCCTAAACTAATCCCCCAAACAAAGACGGCCCAAGGCACGCATACAACACATCAGCTACCATTAATTTTGTTGAATTTATAAACCCAATAGCAAGAGTAGGAACACAATTACTACTATTCTTCATGCTAAGTAGCAATATGCAACATAATTGTTAACTAATTCCCAAAAACAGCGCAGTACGGTCTAAGAGGGCTCAACCAAAAAATTGAAAGTGGTAAATTAACATAAACAAAAGCAAACACATATATTTAGACCAATTAGTTGATAAAACCAAATCAGTACAGTACAGAGTAAGAGGACTCAGCAAATTGCCATTATTTTCAATAACTAGCATCAGGGCAAATAGCAAGTCTAGTTACAAATATAGAAGCATTCATGTACCTAATTAGCGTCAAGGTTGCATTCAGCAATTTTCTTCCAGGATTTGAGAGTTTTGTCTTCCGGGTTTGTTTCGTACAAGGCAAGGCGAGTTACCTCGAAGCTCAGGTTGCCGATGCTCTCATCAAGGACATTCGCTTTCTCTTGAGCTTTCTTCTTCTCCTCATCGGATAAATCCTCATAAAGGAGACTCAGATGCGGCATATAAGCTGCAAGATTTATACAAGTGGATAATCAACTAACACAATTTGGAATCACTCCGAGAAGACATATAGAGGGATCTTTTTTGTTTTCTAGAAGCAAGATCTAGTTAAATTTTACTGGATCTTGAACTCTTCCATAATGCATTCTTAAATAAGCATATAAATAGCTTTACCTATAAAATTTGTCCAAAATGTTTTAAAGGATCTAAACCAATAAACTTAGGGTTTCACCTTCTAGTTCACAGATATGAAGACAACTGCAACATTAAGCTCCAAGGTAGTACGGACTTAGAGCAACTTCAACCACTCTTTATTTTTTACAAGCTAAAATATAAAAATGGTATGTTCTCTATTTTATCTAATTCATTTTTTATCTATGTACTCTAATGCTACTCTTTATTTACTTATTTATACACACAAACTGTTTAAAGAGTCTCCCAAGACTCTTCAAATGTAGCTAACATTGAAGAATTTTGTTAAAATAACTATTGTAATAGCTAGCTCGTTGGAGTGACTAAAATATGACAATACTAGCTAAAATAACTAACATGCTTCGTTTAAAGAGTCCATTGGAGATCCTCTTATTAAACTAAATTAATTTATCTTTGCCGCCCACAAAATCTGGAGTCCGGATCCTCTAGAGTGATCTTATGGATGAGATTTTTTTTTTTTTTAAAGTGACTATTGCTATTAGTACTATTGTACCCTCAACTTTGGCATAATTAAATCTCAACAGTACAAAATCACTCTAAGATTACTCTAGGAAAAATCACTCTAGAGGATCCGGATTCCAAAATCTGTTGTAAGCTTTGTCGAATAGATTCTCAAAAGTTTGTGTCATCATAAGTATGTTTGTAACAATTGATGGCAAATTGACACGGGATTTTGAATGAACCCATTATATTACCAAGTGTAGAAATTGTTATCGTGTCTCCAAATCAAAGTTTTTAAAGGCAAATGCGTAACTCAATGCATTTTACCCCTCATGAGGCGAGCCGTAAGCCATAAGTCGTCGAGATATAAGCATTTTCGAATTTTAAATTTTTGTAAAAATTTATGTATTATTGATTGATGTTTATTGATTTATTACAATGATTCATGATTCCTATATATAGAAGAGGGTGAGTGTGTAGTAGGTAAGGAGTAGGTGAAGTGGAGGTGGTAGTGGTGTAGTGGGTTAGGTTTAGTGGAGTAGGTGAGGTGGTAGTGGTGTAGTTTATTGATTTATTACAATGATTCATGATTCCTATATATAGAAGAGGGTGAGTGTGTAGTAGGTAAGGAGTAGGTGAAGTGGAGGTGGTAGTGGTGTAGTGGGTTAGGTTTAGTGGAGTAGGTGAGGTGGTAGTGGTGTAGTGGGTTAGGTTTAGTGGAGTAGGTTTAAGTGGGTGAAGTAGGTGATAGGTTTTAACAATTTTAATATTTAGTAAATAAATTAAATATTTTGAAATAGTGAAAAAATAAAATAAAAAATAAATATAAAGGTATAAATACTTTTCTCCTTAAGGCATCGAGCATTTCACTTTAGAGAATGAAGCTTGCCTTCATTGAAAGTGAAATTGACATTCTTAGCTTTGTAATTTTGTAATTTTTGTTCATTGTTCATTTACTTAATTTTTTTCTATAGAATATAGTCACAAAAGGGATTCTTTTTATTTTTGACTTTTTGATGTTTAAACTATCTACTAGACTAAGTTTAACAAGAGTCTAAGGCAATCTCTTCATATGCATACAAGGCGCATCTAAAGCGCATGCCTCGTTGCCTTCAGAGATAGTGGCCTAAAAATCAAAGCCTTGATGTATTTTACCTTAACCTTGCCGGTGAGCCTCGGTAAAGCCTATGAAAACTTTGCTCCAAATTATATAGTAATTGTCAGAATTACAACCTAGTCTAATAGCAATATCAAAATAATAGAATATGCTCCTTCCTTTCTTTTAATTGGTTATATAATAAGCATTTGATTGATATAACTAAATCATTCAAATAATTGTCAAAGTTGCAAAGCCTGATGTTGACTTACGGGTTGAGGTCTTGTGACCAAAATGACCGGTGCAGTGTGAACTAGCCTCCGCTGCCTGAAATACGACAATCAAGTGACCAAATATATCGATCATGATGGAATATAATGCTTGCTATATTTGATTATGATGTCAATGAAGAACACAGCAAAACAAAATTTAGTGATTCTTAATTAAAATTTATTAATGCTTCATTTTGGTTATGAGAAAAGTACAACAAAACAAAATATGATATTCTTTTCTGAGGATTCATATTGAATTACAGAAAGAAGGGTTTATTCGATGAAGAGTTCTGTATATCAAACTATAATCATAAGAAAATTATAATATGTGAAACATATTGATACAGAATCATAAAATTTCTTATTTTTGGGATACCTAAGAAATTGGAAACCCATTCTACTCTTTTTGTTTGGGGGGGTACATCACAGCCTGAGAAGGGAGACTCGAATTCCTGACCTCCTAGTTGAGAGGTTCTGGCCAACGAAGCCAGCGCCAGTTGGTTTAACCCCATTCTACTCTGCTAATCCAACTCTCTACCCAAGATGAGGTTAGCCTTTTCCTTTCTTTTATCATTTCCCTTGCTGGTGAAGGAACATAGCAACAAAGGACATTTAAAGGACAAGAAAAACTTTCCATTCCTGTCCTCTTAGGTTCCAGGCAACCAAAAGGAACTGGCTTTCTTTAGAGCCATGCAAGAGTAGATTCTGTTCAAAACAGTAGTATTGAACACAAAGTAGTATATCCATGCTCAATAGAATTAGAAATCTGTGAATCTCACAAGTGAAAAATAAAAAAATGATTTGTGTAATCATCATTTCTATCACAAGGATTTATGCCTCTTTCAATAGCATCAATACACTCGTTTTGTATCTATATCTCAGTTAAAACTAAATGTTTTCCAATTTCCAGAATGAGGATAAACTTTGATTGACATTTAGGTTATGTTTGGATTTAAGGATTTGATGAAAGGAGCTTGCAATATTCATTCAAAGAAGAATAATTCAAATTTACACTTGAAAATTTAAATATGGATTTCAAGATTGAATTTGAGAGCTTTGTCAATATTAATTTGAAATAACAATGTAAAAGTAATTATTTGAAAATCGTCATGCTAAGGGTTCTAGTTGGATCCTAAAACAAAATACTTCTCTTCCATCTCTAGTTTATCTCCCTTTTATTTTCTCAATCCACCTATAATTGCTTAATCTCCTTTAGCTTTATAAAATCCAACATGAAATACCTTGATTTGAAATTCATCAGTCCAACCCTTGCCTTAACGACAACTAAAAATACAACTAGCAAAATTTAACCAACCAACAAAACCATTTAGCATTCTCTCTAGCAAGCTTAAGATTTGCAATTCGATCAAGGAGCTTGTTCTTGTTTTTGTATTTGACCATGGAACAACCAATGTCCCATCTATAAAGTTCTGTCGAGCCCTTTAAGACGTGAAGATCTAGCCCATTTTGATTACCCCATCTCCTTCTAATCCTCTCTCTTTGTTTGAAACCACCTCATTGGGATTACCCCATGTTACTTGACTTCCTTTGAGGGGGCAAACACTTCCAACAAAGCTTCTTCATCCGGTACACAAGACGCAAGCGCATTGAAGACATTTCTTACTTTTTAGCTCTTCCCACTCATTTCTTGAAAAAACAGAAAGAAATAGAAAAGATTAATAACACTTGGTACCCATACATTTTTACTAAAATGTCACTTTAGTCCATTCACTTTCAATTGTAACAGTTAACTCCCTACCCATTAAGTGAGATGGAGAGTGGAGGGCTGGACTCCGATTCTTAGAAGAAGAAAATTGGGTAATCAAGCTGGTCGATTCAGGGAGAATGAGTTGGTTACTCTGTTTGTGGATCAAATACCAGAATCCATGAACCCTAAAGGTTTGTTTAATATTTTCAGTAAGTTTGGTATTGTTAAGGATGTATTTATACCAATGAAAAGAAGGAAAGCAACAAGGACAAGATTTGGGTTTGTGAGGTATGATTGCAAGGTGGCAGCAGAGGTGGCAGTGCAGAAAGCAGGTGGTTTATGGTGTGATAACAGTGTATTGAAAGTAAAACTGGCGGAGTATAGGAAATCGGAGCAGAATAAGCAGATGGAAGTAAGCAAAAGGGATGGAAGTATGGTGCAAAAGATGCAATGGAATCCCATACAACCTATGTTGGGGAACAAAGGTAAAACACATGCAGAGGCAGTTCAAAATGGAGGAATGTGTGACAAAGGAAAAGTGTCCGTAAGAGCTTTCGAGGCTGGCAATGGTTGGTTGTATGATAGTTTATTGGTGAAGCTTAAAGCATTTTGTTCTTTTCATGACTTCAGAAAGGAGTTACAGCGGAGGAAGGGAAATGAGGTGGTTGCTAGAGAAGGGGGAGGGAGGTTAGCCATTTTAACCTTTCAGTCAAAACAACAGCTGAAGGAAGGAAGAGCAAGTATGAAGGAGTGGTTATCTGAATGGAGTGACCAGGTTTCAGAATGGGAAGAAAGGAAATCCATGGATCAAGAAAGGTGTGTCTGGATCACTTGTGTGGGTGTCCTCCCAATCTTTGGAGTGTTAAAACTTTCAGAGATATAGGAAATGTCTAGGGTGAGGTGGTCCAGTATGATGAAGACACAATTGGGTGCAAGCATTTTATGTTTGGAAGAGTAGGGATCATCACAATGAAGATGGAGTTCATAAATACAGTGATTAATCTTGAAGGAAATGAGAGCACTTATCCAGTGAGAGTGTATGAAGAATTCCTACCCAGTATTTGCCAGTGCAAAGGTGATTATAGTTGCCAGGAAAATGCCGTAATGGAATCCAACATGCAAAAAAAGGCTGAACAGTGTTCCAAAAATGGGGGCATTGAGGAAGGTGAAGGCAAGGCTGCTGCAAATACAGTGGAAGATAAAACTGGGAAGGAGGTAAATGCAGAGGCTACTGAAGATGGGGATGCAGAGGAAGGTAGTGAATCAGCGAAGGAAGAAGATGATGATGATGATGTGGATGCAAGTGATGAGGTGTCCAGCAAAGGAAACAACACAGTGGAAAGGGAGGCAGATGATGTGGAAGGAGGTTTTGTATGTCAGATACAGTCGTTAAAGAATCTGTGTGCGCTATAGGGAACTCAAACGGTGGGGCTGTTATAATGAGGAGGGGGTGGTGCAGGTGAGTAGCTCAAGACAAGTGGTGGATGGGACAGTTCAAAGGGTATATGATACGGTTTGTACTCCTGGATTCATGAAAAGTTTGAATGGGCTGGACTGTGTTCGGCCCAATATTAACTTAGAAGTTGTTTTAAATGGTGCCCAAATAGAGCCTATAGCTAATAGGCCAAGATTGGAGTCTGATTCAACTCTGCATGATTATGTAGCCCAATCTGTACCTTTGAATGTAGTGGTAAATTCAGCCCAAAGGGAAGAAAGAGAGGGGTGCTCCATCGAAGAGGGCTAGAGCTATCTTAAGAAGCCAGGAAGCTACAAAGGGAAAGGGAGGTGATCAGCGAAAAGGAAGGAGGAATGGTGCCCAGCTAAACCAGATGGGACTCCTGTCCAGGAATTGTTTAAAAAATGGGGCAATTTTTAGAACAGCAGCTGCTGCTATCTCTCTATCAGTTTCACAGAGTAGTAATTCAAGCAGAAGAAGAAAATTACTTACTGAAGCTCAAGCCACGATGGAAGTAGGCAAAGTTCTGGGGTTAAACTGTGAAGGGAAGGATGATGAAGTGGTGGAAAGAATAATTGACTTGGAGAAAAAAGATCTAGACAGAGTTGCAGGGAGGGGTGTGGCGGCTCAAGCTGAAAGCAACAAGGAGGCTTGGAGATGTGATATGGGTTTCATGAAGCTGCTGTCATGGAATGTAAGGGGTCTTAAAAGACCTGAAAAAAGGGGTAAGATTAAAGCTTTGGTAAAGGAAAGGAAAGTAGATGTTTTGTTGATTCAAGAGTCGAAGAGAGGAAGTGTTGATGATAGTTTTGTAAGATCACTGTGGCCATTAGAGGAAATGGGTTTTGTGGAGGTTGATGCTGAGGGCAGTGCAGGCAGTCTTATTTGCATTTGGAATCCAGAAAATTTTGAGCTGGTTGACTGCTGTAGCTGTAGGAATTTCATTCTTCTGTCAGGTATTGCTTCCAAAAATTTCCACTGTGTTATTATTAATATCTATGCACCGACTGATGTATTGAAAAGGAGACATCTTTGGGAGAGTCTTATCTAGATTAAATCTTCTTACCCCAACCCGTGGTGTTTGGGAGGTGATTTTAATGAAATTAGATTTATGAGTGAAAGGAAGGGATGTTTAAGAAGGGGGAGGGGGATGAAAGACTTTAATGATTTTATTGATAGATTGGAATTAAGTGATTTACCTATGCAAGGAAGATTATTCACTTGGTGTAATGCAATGGAAGGAGACGGGTGGAGTAGGATTGACAGGTTTCTAGTTGACCCTGTGTGGCTGGAGAGGTTTCAATTGAAACAATGGGGATTATCCAGATGTATATCTGATCACTGCCCAGTTCTGCTAATGGAGGATGAAAGGGATTGGGGTCCAAAACCTTTTCGGTTTATTAATGCTTGGGCACTTCACCCAAAATTCAAGACAGAAGTGAAGAAATCTTGGGAGGTGTCTCAGATTTTGGGATGGGCCAGCTTTCGAATCATGTATAAATTGAGGATGTTGAGATCACAATTGAGAAGGTGGAATAGGGAGGTATTCAGGAATATTGATGATCAGCTTAAGAAAGCTGAAGATGAATTGCATGAGTGGGATTTGAAAGCTGAAGTCAGGCCTCTGTTGGAGACAGAATTGGAAAGAAGAAGAGAGATTAGAAGCAAAGTGTGGAATCTCAGTAGATATAAGGAGAGGATGTGGTTACAAAAATCAAGATTGACATGGGCACAGAATGGTGATAAAAATTTCGATTGTTTCACTTGATGGCAAGTAGAAGGCAAAGGAAAAACTTATTAGGCTCAGTGAAGGTGAATGGTGTTGAGTTTGAAGATCCAACTACGGTGAGACAAGTAGTTGTGAATCATTTTGCCAGTGTGTTTACTGAAAATTGGAAGTCTAGGCCTAAATTGTCAAGTCCATTTTTATCCGTTAGTCTGACTGATTCAAAGGATGTTTTGGAGGCAGAGATTTGGGCAGCCATTAAAGATTGCGATGGTAATAAGGCCCCTAGGCCTGATGGGTTCAATCTGTCTTGTATACAAAAATGCTGGTCTATCATGAAAGGTGAGTTTCTTCAATTTTTTGAGGAGTTTCACAGTAATGGGAAGATGGCTAAAGGGGTAAATAGTTCTTTCATCACTTTGATTCCTAAAAAGGAGAAGCCCTCTGATTTGAGTGAATATAGACCTATTAGTTTGGTTAGCTCTGTTTACAAAGTGTTGGCTAAAGTGCTATGTAGAGGCTAAGACAAGTGCTACCTAAACTTATAGGAGAAGTTCAGACTGCTTTTCTTGGAGGAAGATGTATTCTTGATGGGGTGTTAATTGCAAATGAAGTGGTGGACTGGTGGAGGAAATCAAAGAAAAAAGGAATCATCCTTAAATTGGACTTCGAGAAGGCTTATGATTCAGTAAATTCGGAGTTCCTGTTATCAATGATGGTGAACTTCGGTTTTGGTGAGAAATGGGTGGGGTGGATTAAGTCATGTATTTCTACATCAAGGATATCAGTGCTTGTTAATGGGTCACCCACTGCAAAATTTTCTCCTGAAAAGGGTTTAAGACAAGGTGATCCACTCTCACCTTTCCTCTTTAATATTGTGGCTGAAGGGTAAACCTTTTATTGGAGAGAGCAAAAGAAAGGGGGCTGATAAGAGGTGCTTCAATTGGTCCAAAAGAGTTGAAGATTTCTCATTTGCAATTTGCGGATGACACAATCATTTTTTTGCGAAGCTGAATGGGGGGAAATCATTATGATTAAAAGAATACTGAGGTGCTTTGAAGTAATGTCAGGGTTAAAGATTAATTTTCATAAAAGTATTGTACGTGGGATTGGTGTGGAGGAGATGAGGGTTATGGAGTTTGCCCAAAAATTTAATTGCCTTAGTCAGAGATTACCTCTTACTTATCTTGGTCTACCTTTAGGTGCAAATACAAGGAGTAGAAGTACATGGCAACCTGTGGTGGAAAAGTTTAAGAAGAAATTAGCATCATGGAAGAGGAAGTTCTTGTCCTTTGCTGGTAGATTGACCCTGATTAGATTAGTCTTGTCAAGTGTACCTATGTTCTTTCTATCATTATTTAAAATGCATGTGGGTGTTGCTAAAACAATTGACAAGATTCAGTCTAGTTTCTTATGGGGAGATTTTGCGACTAGAAGGAAAATTCATCTGGTAAGTTGGAAGGAGGTATGTAAAAGTAAAGCCCAAAGTGGGTTGGGTGTGAGAAATTTGACTGATGTTAATGTTTGATTATTATTAAAATGGTGGTGGAGGTACGGTAGAGAGCAACAGTCATTATGGAAACAGGTGGTGTGCAGTAAATATGGTGGATTTGGGGGCAGGTGGATTCCAGCAACAGTGGAATCTGCTATGGTGTCTTCAGTATGGAAGGGGATTGTATCATCTGTTTCATCAAATACAGCTGTGGCTGAGTTGTTTACACAAAATTTTAAACTCATTATAGGAAATGGGGAGAGGATACAGTTTTGGAATGATAGGTGGTTTAATGGTAGAAGTCTGAGGAATGATTTTCCTAGATTATTCAGTCTTTCAATGGATAAGGAAGGAACATTGCAGTTTTTCTATCACAGGAAAGGGCAGGGCAGAGATTGGAAGCTGGAGTTTAGAAGATCCCTCTTAGCTTGGGAGGAAGAGGAGGTTCAAAGACTTACTAAATTGTTATCAGAGGCACCTATTCTAAATCCTACTGCTGAGGATTCTTGTTTATGGCTGGCAAGCAGTTTAAAAGAGTTCTCTGTGGCTTCGGTATGGCAAAGGGTGGAGGCAACTAAAGGGCCAATGCTCAGCATTTCAAAGGTTGTGTGGAAAAATTCAACACCTCCAAAGGTTCAGTTTTTTAGTTGGTTAGCTTGGAGAGGGAGAATAAAGTCTGCAGAGTTAATGCATAGGATTGGATTATTGAATGATAATGTTAGTTCTCTTTGTGTGTTTTGCAAGGCAGTGGTGAAAACAGCTGATCATGTGCCGTTATGCCCTTTGATCTGGAATGTATGGTCTGTCTTGGTGAATTGGTGGGATGTAAGATGGGCAACACCAGGTTCTGTGGAGACTTTGATGCACTGGTGGTCTGGAATGAAATGGAGGAAGAAGGAGTTGGAGATTTGGAAGGTTGTCCCTTTGGCTATGCTGTGGTCTGTGTGGAAACTAAGGAACAACTGTCTATTTAAGGAAGGGCATGCTGATCTTGAAGGATTGGGGGAATTGGTGAAAGTCAGAATTGCTTTATGGGTGAAGTCTAATATGAAGGGTGCTAAATACTCAGTGCATGATATTGTTGCTAATCTGAAGCAGGTCAAAAGTTGTTTGTAAGCAGATGGAGGAGGGTGCTGGTGTATTAGTCCTGATATGTGGATGTCCTTCTTGTGTGGCTGGTTGGTCTTTCTTTCTTTTTTTTCTTTTTGTATATCTGTTTGTGGATTGGTGGCTCGCCAATCTGTGGGTTTAGTGGATTGGTGTCTCGCCAATCTGTGAGTTTAGTGCTAGCATATGATTATGCTTCCTCCTTGGTGCCAACTTAGTTGAGATTACGGTGTGTTAGCTATGATGCTTTTTGCACTTCCCTCCTTTATTGATGTAAATTGATGGTTGTACTTGCGTGTTTTCATCAATAAAGTTTCCCTTTTTCTTTGCTGATAAAAAAAAAAAAAAAAAAAAACTCCCCACCCATTAAGTCAAGTTACAATTTTACCTTTCCAATGATCTCCCCGTTAACAAAGTTGAGAGAACTTGTCATTTGAACCATATGTTACATTTTTGTTGTCTCGTCAACACCTTACACTTTTACTATTATCTCACTTTAGTTCTTACAGTTTCACCAAAATCTCACTTTAGGCTCTCTACTTTCAATTTTCTCTGGCTTTATTAACCGTACATGGAAGGAAGGTAAGATTGAAATTTGATTTGAAGTGTAAAGGGTTGCCTGTAACAATTATATCCAAAATGATCTAAAACAAAGGAGGACTTACGTGTAGGTCTTAATACGTGGACTTGTTATTCAATAAGTCCTATAATAATTAATGACATTTTTTATCAAACACTACTAAAAAACATCAGTAATTGTTAATTTTCAGCGACAGTTTAAAAATTTTGTCACAAAAAATATCAATAATCATAAGTTTTAGCAATAGTTTAAAAAAATCGTCACAAAAAAATATAATTAATTTTTAACTTCCAGTGACAATTTAAAAAATTTGTCAGATTATAAGTTTTAGTGACAATTTATAATAATCGTGACAAAAAAAATCACTAACGGTTAATGGTGACAAAAAAAAATTGCTAACTGTCAATTTTTAACGATATTTGCAAAAAATCAATATAAAAAATTATTTTTAATAATAATTTTATAAAAAATAATACTGGATGAAAATTATATCCAACTATAAAGACCTATTGATAATTTACTTAGCAATCCCAAATATAAACCAAATTATACCCAAAATGCTGATCCTTATACTTCAATCAAATTTCATATAAAACTATGCACACGTATACACTATCAATTATGTATGAATATATATATATAGAGAGAGAGAGAGAGAGAGAGATTTCAAAATTACCTCAGAGGTAGGATGGAGAAGAAGAAAAACGCACGAGGTTCCAATGGCGACCTTCTCTACGGTGGCAGTGTAGGGCTTGACGCCGTGACAGGCGGCTCGGAACTTGTCGAGCGCGTCGTCCTCCGTCAGGCTGATGGCGCGGACGACGGTGATGTGGGGTTCGAATTCGGGCCCACCGAACTCCGATCGGAGGGCCAACATCAGCTTCTTCAGCCGCTCCCTCACGTTCTCCGGTGGAATCGCCCACACCGAATACGCATGCTTCACTGGCTCACCCTCCATGAAAATTGACAAGATCGAAACAGAGAAAGCGACAAATCAGAATTGTTTCAATTTTTTGAATTGTTTTTGTTTTTGGTGATTTTTGTTTGTATTGGGTTTTTTTGTTTGTTTGTTTGTTTGGAGAAGAAACGCAGAGTATCAACCGTGTAGTGTTTGTGAGTGAGATGTGATTAGGAAGTCGAAATCAGAAATGGACATAAAATGGTATAAGCTGAAGGAGGATGTTGGACTTGGGTGTCAATAAGGCGTCAAGATCCTCTAGAGTGAAAAAGGTGGATCCGCCTCCTCTCCTGCAGTCTTCCGTCCAGCACTATCCAACAGTTTTAACGAGATCGTGACACGTCGCCAAGAAGCAATCTAAAGGGCTGAAAGTTGCCACGTTGCGCAGAGAAATAACGTTTTTCAAATGTGACGGAGGCTAAACTCACAAATTCAAAGACGACTCTTCTTTTAGATCCTCAAAATCTCCATTGACGGCAAAAGCAAAGAAATGACAGAACGGAGTGACAGCGGCGTCAACCGAGATTAACGAACGACACAAAATCTCCAAAGATGAAATGAGGGAAGAACAGAGGAGTAGCAGCGGATACAAAATCTCCATAGATGAAATGTGGGATTGGTCATCGTTTTGGGCAAACGCAGAGAAATAAATCATGAAGAGAACGACACCGTTTTTGGTGGTAGAGATTTCTACAACCACAACTTCTCACAATTTGCTTTCAACATTTCACAAATTACTTTGATTTTTTTTTCGGTAGTTGAATCGAACTTTTTCAACTGGAATCAACCCAAAACCATCATGGCCAATAAAGAACTCCAAATGTTGAGGATGAATTTCAATGGATGGAACTTGTTTGCTACCAGAACATAAATCTTCCATGATCAAATTCGAGTAATCCTCTTTAATGGGTTGTTGCTCTACCTCCAAAACCAGACCTTCATCTTTATCACATTCCAAGTTGGATACAAAAACAGAGCAATCCATGTATGTATCATCGTCACTTGTGAATGACTTGCCACATTTGAACTCCAACATTTGTCAAAAACATCAACACCCAAAACCCACTTCAGTGTAATTTTTTTTTTTTCCAAGGACATCTTTGATCTGTACAGTAAGCAAGAACAAGAAGAGAGAGAAAAATTTACTACTTGTAGTTGGAGATTTGTTTGGAAGTGTATGAGAGAACACACCAAGAAACACAAACACACCGTTAGTGCTATCCCTTGAGTGAAAACGACGTGGTATTACCCAAAACCACGCCGTTCTACTAAATGCATTTCATTCTCTGCAACGTGGCAACTCCCAGCCCTTTGGATTTCGTGTCACGATCTCGTTGAAATTGCTGGAATAGAACACTGCAGGAGAGGAGGTGGATCCAAAACAGGTAGAGTGATCTTCTACAGTAATTTATGAGGGTGCGACACATGTCCCATTAATGAAACTAAATCAATTCCTCACGCCGTTTTGGTGCAGAAATTGAAAAAAGAAAAAGAAAAAATGAATTCCCTCTCTCTCACGGAGGACTCTGTCAAAGAACAATCTTCAGCCACTGATACCAAAACCTATGCTCTAATCTCTCTCTCTATTGGTATATGTGTGTATTTCCAATGTTTTTGACCTTGATTTTGCAGCGAACGCAGGGAAATCAGGTTCAAACTCCGGTATCTGCTGCGATCGACGACCAAATCCAAGAAGGAAAAGGTCTAAATCTCCTGTTTTGCAGTTCTTGCAAATTCTGTGGGTTTGAGTACTGTAGTACAGCTGGTGTGGAGAGTAAAAAATTGGTAATTTTAGGTTGTTGTGGTCAAAGATCTCCGATTCGGTACGGGTTTTATATTAGATTAGATTAAAAATCTTCTTAAAAATGGGGGGAACTGTTGGGAGAATATCATTTAGGTTCTAGGTTTTCAACAAAATTTCCATAACAGTCTTGTTAGGACAATGTTGAGAGGGTTTACATTTTCCCCAAATCATTTGAGTAGTGCTTGACACATTTGATCAAGATGGTATCTATATTTGATTGTGATGACTTGCCATAATTGATGAGGAAGTAATTTAGGGGTAAAGAAGAGGGGTGGGTTTGAGATTGAAATAAATAAATAAATTAGACAATATGTGATGTACACAGATGGACTTCAGCCACCAGAGTGAAGGAGAGTACGCCAAAGATAGAGAAGAACTCCGATTGTGTGTCCTCTCTCTCTCTCTTCGTTTCTCTTTTCTCTTTTCACGTTTCTTCTTTTTTTTTTTTTGAAATTTCCTGTTTTGGTGGGGGATTGATCTCAACGTTGGTTCCTGTTAAAATCCACCTACTCTCCACCTACTTCACCCACTTAAACCTACTCCACTAAACCTAACCTACTACACCACTACCACCTCACCTACTCCACTAAACCTAACCCACTACACCACTACCACCTCACCTACTCCACTAAACCCACTACACCACTACCACCTCCACTTCACCTACTCCACCTACCACCTCCACTTTACCTACTCCATCTACCACCTACTACCACCTACTCTTCTATATATAGGAATCATTGTAAATCCAACAAATTTGTAGGATTATTAGTAATGGGGTAGGGGTGAGATTATTAATCCGGTGGATATTAACCCAATTGGATAGTGAATACCACACTAATTTAATAAGATTATTAATATTTCACTATTAATCTTGTGAATCAAACATGACCTAATTGTACTAACCCCCTTTTGTGTTAGGTGGGGTTTTCTTTCACGTGCAGGCCTATGGGACAAAAGCCATTTAATGAGACAAATTGAGAAGTATGTGCTACTGTTTTAATATTTTTGGTTCATTTTATAACATCTGGTATTCCAACCGTGGTGGTAGCTGTAGTTGGAATACAATTTTGAATGTTCTTTTTTGGAATAGTTTTTTTTTTTAATTTTTAATTCCATTAAATTACAGGTATGCTGATATTTATACCTCAAGGGTCTCAAATTTTCTTCATTATACACCCTTCATGTATTTCCGTTCACAGGAGCAGGTATTCAAGTATATATGGTTTTCTTGATTATGTTTTCACATTGATTTTCCTTGTACAGTGCCGTTGCATTATTAATCTAGAACTGAGCCCAACATATGCTGGAGATGATGTAACAAAGTTTCTTTCTTGGATGTGTATCTTGGTAAATGCATGCAATGGTTTTTATCTCTGTTGTATTGTATTTGATTTATTCGCTTAAACACTTTTAACATGGCCTCTTTATTAGTAAAATCATTAGTCCACCTTGTACATGTCCAAACCTTCCTAGATAACTTGGTCTCATATAATTCTCAATTGACACTAGTCACATTACCCTTAGCTTCTCAGTAGTGAAGAGTGATTTGATTCAAGTTGAAGGAACAAGGACAAGAGGAAGCTAAAAGTAGTTAGACCCACTTAAACCTACTCCAGTAAACCTAACCCACTACACCACTACCACCTCCACTTCACCTACTCCTTACCTACTACACACTCACCCTCTTCTATATATAGGAATCATGAATCATTGTAATAGATATCAATATAAATCAATCAATAATACAATTCTCTATTTCTCTTTATACATATGGTGTTGGCCGTCTCTTGCTACCATTTCCTTCCCCTAAGCGCCTGTGGATAGCAGCTAGATTATTTTTGGGTGCATCGGCTATCATTTTTCCCCTCTTTCTCTCACATGGGCTTGTCCCCTCTCTCTCCTCCGTTTGATTTCAAAATCCATTATTTTTATTTATTTTCTCCATACCACTTTCCTTATTTCCCCCATCTTTCATTTTGATTTCAAATATATTTTTATTATTTCTTTCTTTATTTTTCTTTCACATTATTTTTAATCTTTTTCAAATTCCATTCATACCATATAGCTTTGCACACCAAATTTTATTCATCTCAGGGATCAACTCCGATCACAATTTTACACACACACACACACACAAAAAAAAATAAAAAAATAAAAAAAATAAAAAAATAACAAACACAACCACAGCTTTGTTTTCTTTTCTGCAAACGGCCCCACACCGACACCCCTTCTCTACTCTGCCGCCGGTCTTTTCTTCTTGCCTCCGTCCTGGGCGGCCCTTGCCGGTGTTGCCTCCGTATTTCCCACTCCACTGGGCATGATCACTACTCCCTGCTCCTCCACTGCAGAATATGGCGGACCTCCAAAACGGAACATCACGGTGGCCTTCCGCTTCAGCTCCTTATTTTTCGCCTTCAGCACACTTATCTCTGCTCGCGCATCCTTATACATGCGTTGGAGCAGAGCCAGCTGGGAGTTTAACTGCTGCACCTCATTTGCCTTACTTTGCAGCCGGTGCGACAAGTTTGTGACCGCCGTCATGGTCTCCACACATGACTTCAAAGTATACTGATTGGCCTCAATATCAGTTTGCACCGCCATTTTTTGCTCCACAGAATGCATCGGAAAGTTCAACGGAGCAAAACCAGAGGTGTTTGGTTGAGGTTCACTGGCCACCGCACCAGTTATTTCTCTTGTGGACTCGTTCAGTTCTGGAAAGAGATTGCTTCCCAAACGAGGCCTTAGTGACAGGTAGCTGGACGGGAAGAAGAGGCCATGTTGCTGAGTGTTTCAGAGACGGGTTGGTTACAGAGTATTACAGAGTTTCTCTCTCAGCAAAGGAAGAGTTTTTTCAGAGGATTTTCAGAAGTTTTTTGTCTGCCTCAGCCTCAGCATCAACCTTGGTTAAATAGATGGGGCAGCCACGCGTATCGCGCGCCACTTGACGCCAGACGACAAAACGGGCGCGCAAGCCAATGTGGTGACGCGCCTCGCCATCATGTCCGGCACATCTTTTTATGACTTGGGCTCGCCTTTTGATGGCACACCTTTTATGGATTGGGCACGCCTTTTGATGGCACGCCTTTTGACAGATTGGGCACACCTTTTGAGGGTGCGACTTTTAGGGGTCCGACTAGACTCTGTAAACTGTCCCGACATTGATTCCGGTTAGCTCCTTCATGGGTCCGACAAGACTCTGTAAACTGTCCCGACATTGATTCCGGTTAGCTCCTTCAATGGTCCGACAAGACTCTGTAAACTGTCCCAACATTGATTCCAGTTAACTCCTTCATGAGTCCGACAAGACTCTGTAAACTGTCCCAACATTGATTCCAGTTAACTCCTTCATGAGTCCGACAAGACTCTGTAAACTGTCCCAACATTGATTCCAGTTAACTCCTTCATGAGTCCGACAAGACTCTGTAAACTGTCCCAACATTGATTCCAGTTAACTCCTTCATGAGTCCGACAAGACTCTGTAAACTGTCCCGACATTGATTCCGGTTAGCTCCTTCAAGGGTCCGACAAGACTCTGTAAACTGTCCCAACATTGATTCCAGTTAACTCCTTCATGAGTACAGTGTCCTCTACATGGTTATGACACCCCCATACAGTGTCCTCTACAACGTTATGACACCACCATCCAGTGTCTTCACCAATGGTCTGACACGACCATACAGTGTCTCTTATCCTCTTTTATTTTTATGTATTTTCTTGTTTTGTTACTCTCTCCAAACTCAAGTTGGTTAGTTCCTATCCCCCCTTGAGTTTGCGGGGGGCTGTTAAAATCCACCTACTCTCCACCTACTTCACCCACTTAAACCTACTCCACTAAACCTAACCCACTACACCTCTACCACCTCCACTTCACCTACTCCTTACCTACTACACACTCACCCTCTTCTATATAT